CGGATCAGACATTAATTCATCCAAACCAAGTCCGTAAAGTGCTTTCCAGCCCCGGAAAATGCAAATACAAAAAATTATTTGTACAAAATACTGTACATTAACTAAATGTAGAGTTAGTAGAAAAGGCGCACAACTAAAAGGCACTCGTATATACCAGGGTACGGCTAGAAAGTCACAATCGAAGCGAAAAAAAGCCAAAATTTAGATAGAAAATTAGGAAAATGGCAATGTGGTTATTACAACCGGGTATCGATAGAAGCATTGCAAGAGGCAGTCATGGCAGAGGGTTTCTTTTGGCAAGCCATTAAAGTACCAGTTAACTATAACAACATTACATATCCAACCAAGGGTAGCAGGACATTGTCGAAATTCTCGATGTACGCTTCGATGAAGGTGAGAACGATGGAGCAGGCGGCGCGGTAGGCCAGGGATGGGATCTAGACAAGCGGAAGCTAATGTTTTCAAAATGTCTTTCCGGTTGAGCACAGAACAGGGCCAACGCTGTGGAGCATGTAGAAAAGCGGAGGCGGCCATGGAACATCGAGCCGACGTAGGTCTTATTCCTTCTAAGGAAAAATTATAGGAAGGAGAAATTTGCATTTACCCAGGCCATTTTTGCTTGTCCGTATAGGTAACCGCCATTAGCTGCCATCGAATTCGCCAACCTAAAGGACGTAAGTAAAGTATTTTTTTAGTCTTAATAGCTATACACAAGGACGTTAAAAAGGTAAAGCTCACCACAACTGTCAAAATCCCGGCCAAATGTCTCATTTGAAAGTTCGGGGCTGCGTCAGCAGGTCAAGGAAGAGTGGGCAAAACACGCCGAAGAGTAGGTACATTGGAGTCATCAAGACTTTCTAAGATCAGGATCTTGTTAGAAAGCGAAACCGTACCCCGTCCTGCTTCGCCTTGAGATCAGGAACAGGCTGTCGAGGCCGGTTGACCAGGGCGGCACTTGGAAATGCGGAGGACCTACATAAGGTGGTGGCCATTGAAAGCTAATACCTCAAAGCACACAAAATACACATGCCACAAGTAGCCGCACGACCAGGTGAAACAAGGGCTCGTAGTAGATGCCGCTCAGGTAGATTAGGCCGATGACGAGTGGAAGAACTTTTATCTGAAACGTATATACTTTTTATTAAACCGAGTGAATCAGATCCAGCTACCTTTACTTCTAGGCTTACCTATGCATTGTATTCGACATATTTTGACTTGAAACTATGCTTGAAAACTGGATAGCAACGAACACGGCCGCAGACCAACCAAGCAATATCCAAATTCTAAAAGAACTTAAAGGAGCGATTCACAACGTACCTGGCCTCCGTCGACTCAAATACAATCTCGTAAAAATGCGCGGGCAACTGCAGCAGAAGCGTAATGTGAAGCGTGTGAGCGTAGATGGACATTGCCGTGCCGACGGCCTAAACTACCCCTTAGAGATTTAACAGCTATCTACTCCACTAAAACCAGGACTCCATTGATTAGCTTCACTGGCTTAGCTGACGCCGCTGCAGAGAGGGCGACAAAAGAAGCGGAGGCTTTACTGCTATCTGAAGAGAAACAGGTTCATTAAAGGAATTTCAAGTAAAATTACCCAATGCAGTGGCCCATAATCGACCGGCATTTATGAACATAGAGGCGAGTAGACACCTGAAGAGCGGTTTATAAGATCGATGATTAAAAGTCACAGCAGGCTGGAAAGTGCGCGGCAAACAAAATAGCGGGAGAGAAAGCTTGTTTTCGCGGCCAATCAAAAGATCGTCAAACTTTGAGTGCAACTAGAGACCATCCCCAACGATATACACGATAAATTGCTGGCAAAACGACTAGTCGCAGCCCCGTTCAAAGTCCCAGCGCCAGATTTCATGATGTAAGGCGCAACCAGACTACAAAGCACCGTTGAACCTACGCATCTTATCAGCAACCACAAGCCGACCAAGCAAGATAAGAAATAAAGAAGCCAGCGAAGTTTCTATCAAGCCATTCTCTCTCACTTCCCCCATATAATGTGCACGATTTTCGATCGTATTATGTAATTCGGTTAAAAGAGCAATTGGTTTATCCTGAATCAACAAACAAAAAAGATCAACAAGGCAATGAGATCAACTGAAAAATTTTTAATTATCCGTCAAATTAGTCGACTTCCTCGATGGTCGGTCCTCCAGCGGCTCCGGCGCCACCAGGGGCTCCTCCGGGGGCACCACCGGGCGCGCCACCGGCTCCTTGGTAGAGTCGGGTGATGATCGGGTTGCACACGGCCTCCAAGTCCTTCTGCTGGTGCTCGAACTCGTCCTTCTCGGCGGTCTGGTTGGAGTCGAGCCACTTGAGCACCTCGTCGCACTTGGTCTCGATCTTCTGGCGATCCTCCTCGGAAAGCTTGGACTTGAGCTGCTCATCATCGAGCGTCTGCTTCATGTTGAAAGCATACGACTCAAGTCCGTTCTTGGCTCCGATGCGGTCCTTCTGGGCGTCGTCGTCGGCACGGTACTTCTCGGCATCGGCGACCATACGCTCGATCTCTTCCTTGGAGAGACGGCCCTTGTCGTTGGTGATGGTGATCTTGTTGGACTTTCCGGTCGACTTGTCGGCGGCGTGGACATTCAGGATACCGTTGGCGTCAATGTCGAAGGTGACCTGGAAAAGTTTGATTAGGATAAATTTTTCTGAAAAGTGCCAATAAAGCGCAACATACAACGAAAAGCAACGTACCTCAATCTGGGGCACACCACGGGGCGCCGGCGGGATTCCGGAGAGCTCGAATTTGCCGAGCAGGTTGTTGTCCTTGGTCATGGCGCGCTCGCCTTCGAAGACCTGGATCAGCACACCAGGCTGGTTGTCAGCGTAGGTGGTGAACGTCTGCGAGGTCTTGGTGGGAATAGTGGTGTTGCGCTTGATCAGAGCAGTCATCACACCGCCAGCGGTCTCGATACCTAAAAATAAAAGTAAGTTACTGCAAAAAAACCCATTAAAAAAGTTATGAATTCTAAACTTACCGAGCGAGAGCGGGGCAACGTCGAGGAGGAGAAGATCCTGCACGGTCTCGGACTTGTCTCCGGAGAGGATGGCGGCCTGGACGGCAGCTCCGTAAGCGACAGCCTCATCGGGGTTGATAGACTTGTTGAGCTCCTTGCCGGAGAAGAAGTCCGAGAGGAGCTTCTGGACCTTCGGGATACGGGTTGATCCTCCGACGAGGACGATGTCGTGGACGGACGACTTGTCCATCTTGGCGTCACGGAGCGACTTCTCGACGGGGTCCATGGTAGAGCGGAAGAGATCGGCGCACAGCTCCTCGAAACGGGCACGAGTGATGTTGGTGTAGAAGTCGATACCCTCGTAGAGAGAATCGATCTCGATCGAGGCCTGAAAAACAAACATAGAGCCGAATGAAAAAATCAAAAACAGCAAAGGTGATTAAATTTACCTGCGACGACGAAGAGAGGGTCCTCTTAGCGCTCGCAAGCAGTGCGCAGACGGCGGAGAGCGCGGGCATTGGAGGCAAGGTCCTTCTTGTGCTTGCGCTTGAACTCGGCGATGAAGTGGTTGACCATGCGGTTGTCGAAATCTTCTCCTCCAAGATGAGTGTCTCCGGCAGTCGACTTGACTTCGAAGATTCCGTCCTCAATGGTGAGGATGGACACATCGAAAGTGCCGCCGCCAAGATCGAAGATGAGGACGTTGCGCTCGCCGCTGGCCTTCTTGTCAAGTCCATAGGCGATGGCGGCAGCCGTGGGCTCGTTGATAATTCGGAGCACGTTGAGGCCAGCGATGGCTCCAGCATCCTTGGTGGCTTGACGCTGAGAGTCGTTGAAGTAGGCTGGGACAGTGACGACCGCATCTTTGACGGTTGATCCAAGGAAGGCCTCGGCAGTCTCCTTCATCTTGATGAGAACCATGGAGGAGATCTCTTCAGGGTGAAGGTCTTTGTCTCGCCCTTGTAGTCGACCTCGATCTTGGGCTTTCCGCCTTCAGCGGAGACGACCTTGAAGGGCCAGTGCTTCATGTCGGACTGGACGGCAGAGTCTTCGAACTTGCGGCCAATCAATCGCTTGGCGTCTAAAACAAAGTAAAGATAAAGCAATACGATTCTTACCGAAGACTGTGTTGTGCGGGTTCATGGCGACCTGGTTCTTGGCGGCATCTCCGATGAGGCGCTCGCTGTCGGTGAAGGCCACATACGAGGGAGTGGTGCGGTTTCCTAAACAAACAGTTTAATACAGCAGTCTAAAAGACGAGACTCGAATCTCGGTAACATTGCAGGCGTTCCCGAACTGAACCCGGAAGGCGGGGGCGAAAAGGGTTGTGAAACGCGGGCTTGTTTGCCCAAACACCCGGGGCCAACGCACTTTGGGCCCAGACAGAAGGCTTATCTCAAGCCTCAAGCGTTGTCGCGGGCCAAAACCCCAACAAAAATAGCTGCCGCCGGGGTACCAAAATCGGAAAGATTTAAAAATCTACCTTGATCATTGGCGATGATCTCGACCTTGCCGTGCATGAAGACACCGACGCATGAGTAGGTGGTGCCGAGATCAATTCCGACGGCGTTGTGCTTGGTAGCCATTTCTTGCTATCTGGTGTAGTTGAGTTTATCTGGAAAAGGAAGAGTTGGGTACGAAAAGAAACTGATAAAATTGGAAAGGCTAGAAAAGAGGAATAACGAGGATTCGAAAAGTATTCCCGCAGCCTGAATGTGAAAGGGCAGGGGAAAATACTAAAATGAAAGTAACAAAGAATAAAAAAGAAATCAAGAAGTTAGCTGCTGTTTTAGGCCAAGAAAATGGGCAGTTTGCGAGGTCAGGGCCGACAAATGGGGCGGCTAGCGGGAAGCACACATTCGAAAAGTGGCCCCACTAGTCCAGACTGGCACAAGAGAAGAGGGGGCGGGGTTTGCGAGGGCATGGAAGGTTCGGGAAAGCGGGAATTTCGCCGCGAACGTTCCACATCGACCTGGGAATTACCGTTGCGTCAGAAATCGTTTGGGGACCCGGGCTTCGATCGCGTAAAGTGTTGCATCACGGAATTTTGCTTTCGAAAAGTCATAAAATTGGTGATAAATTTTGAAATTTTAGACGCGAAAATTTAGACAATTTTTTGCAGAAAATATCTTCGAAACCAGAAATTTCGAAAATTTTCGAAGTCGTTGTGGGACCCGGGCTACGGTCGCGTAAAGTGTTGCATCCCGGAATTGCCCTGTCGAAAAATCTCCTAAATTGGTGCTAAACCTTTGAAATTTTTGAGGTGAAGTTTTGGACCATTTTGTGTGCTAATTTTTCAAGTCGAAACGCGCACAGGCTTCCGGAATCTCTTTTATTGAATTTCGCAAGTCTGGGAAGTTGCTCAACTGTGCTTCAGCTTTCAGGGAAAACCTCTCAATTCTATTGAAGTGTCTGAAGCTTTATAAAATGTCAGGGTTTTTTTAGATTTCTAAAGTCTGCTCTCGCGTTTCCTTTCGAAATCGGGACCCCGTAGAGGTTTCCCTTTCAACACTTCATGTTAGGGAAATATTGGCTCAGAGCGTTAGTCATTCCAGGAAGTGAATCAGTAACAACCTTGGTTGCCATCGTAACGGAGAACACGGCGTCAATTATTCATTGGTCTGGGAATTCAGTTTCATACCAAACTCCTTCAATGGGCTGCTTTATTAAAAATCGTGGTTCTTGTTATTTGTGGGCGGCGGGACACTTCTGAATGCCCGGCTATATCGGAAGTTTTCGCCTCATCCTTGCCCGATTTTCGCAGAAAGATTATGGAGAGGATCCTGAAAATAATAATGATTCTTGTGGGTTTCCGATCCTCTTACGCATCATAGGACAGGAAAAGGAATAATGCTATTTGGTCGACGGCTAATCTGGCGAGTAGCCCGATTTGAGGGCCGACTAACAGCCGTGTTAGTGCCCCGCCAAATTGGGAAAGTTGTGACACCGTTGTATAGATAGTCGAGGAACAAATTAGCTAAAACGATTGACAATATTGTCATAGGTGGCGTAGAACATACCATTTTGGCCAGGCTAAATTTTTGTTTGTTACTTTTTCCTGAGGCTCGGCTGTGCTTAAAAATTGAAGTTTAAGTTTTGAAGCCAAAAAAACCTACGGCGTGCAACTTTTTGTAGGCAAAACAATCTAGGGCTACAGTATTAGCCGCCAGTAGATTCATAAAATAAAGTAGCCCATCCCCAGGGTCAACATTGAATGCTCGGCCGAGTCTTAGTAAGGCCGAGACAAGATAGGGTATAATTAATTGAAGGTACGGTAATTTTAACGAATAGTGAAAGTATCTTCCTTCGAAGGATAGGGCTACGAATCTCCTAGATAAATTTATATCGAGTTATCTTTTTTTATTACCCGAATGATACGAATTCTTGCGATATCCGAATCCCTGTAGAAAGTGTTAACAAGTTTGAATATAGGGTCGAGCCGAAATATAGGAGTTGAACCAGCGTGTTGACAGTTTCCAGTGTGCACAGAAGTTCCGGTAGAACTCTGAAAATTGGGAAGCTTAAAAATATAGAAATTTCACGAACAGTGGGCAATGAAGGGCAGCCTGGCTCAAGCTGACCAGAAAACGAGCTGCGGCTTCTGCTACGAGAAGCAATCTAAAATAGTTTTTGGCAAAGAATTTCGGTAAGATAATCCTTACCTTACCGGCCACGCGATATGTGCGTTTCTAGCAGTTGAATAAAGTGCAATAGGGTTAGTGAATACACCTAGAAGGCTAATCTAAAAGCGAAAACCACCTCGATTCCTAGGTTTGATGATTACCAGTGCTGATCCCAAGTTATAGACATAAAGAACGTAAATGTGGCTGACCTCTTCGTCGACATCAACATTATTTAGATACAGAAAATAGAGTAGCACGATCAAATTGTTCGATTAAGACCGTGATACCTAGGGATTTCTCTGTTAAACTGGGTCGTAAAACCCACTAAAAAGAATTATCGTAGCTGTAGTAACTTCTACAAACTCTCGATACCGTCTGAACATCTAGGAGAGCTCGGGAAATCGTTCCAAGCGTGAAAAGCAGATTTTTTAGTTCACCAGGTGTCGCCGATTCCCAGGCCCATGTGACACTCAACTCGCAAAAGTTGTGGTAGTAGGAAGTAGAAAAGTGTTTGTATTTTCAGCTTTCACAACGGGTCCAACACCAAATTCACATGGATTTTGTGAACATTTGATTTTGTGACGCTCTAATTGAGTTTGTTAAATTTGGTGCTCAAAGTGTATTTTAGGTGTAGCGAAATTTATTGCTAACAAAACAAAGCGAGTTTTAAAGGTATGTAGTATTGTTAGGTCTTCAAAGAGTAGTAGGGGCGGACGGTGATCCACATTTTGTAGTCGTCCGTGTCGCCCTAAACCAGTTTTTGATGTCGTATTTAGAATTTAATTAATAAAGTTACGTTTTAGATTAAAGGAATTAAATAAATAGATTTTATTAAATCTAAAATTAGAGTTAAAATTGTTTTAAAAACCTCATTCTTTTCCCATTCAAAACCGCCCTCGTCTTGCCAGCGATGCGTCAAAGAAAAGGCTCGATACGGGATGTCGAAAAATAGACGCGGATCAATAACGATCAGTCTGAAAGCTCAAAAATTGCCATTTTAACCTTTAAAGGGATTATCAAGGCAAATCTATCACCCTCTGACTTTTCAGTCTCTTTAATAAGCTCCCCACTTGGACATTGGCCCTCCGACCGGTCGGACTTTTAGCATATTACATTGCACAGCAGCTCTCCTCATCCCGTCAAGCTTGTAGAACAGTTTGAAGCCGGGCTTGTGTGTTGCGTTTGGCTAAATTATAGATAAAACGATAGGATACGCTAGAATTCGATACCTTTAATGCCGTATCTACCGTAAGCTGACAGTTAAGTTACACAACTTCCAGCCGGGACTCTGAAAGTGTATTCATCCGTAATCTCGGTAAGGATTCACGCTTAGATTTGAAGCATTCGCAAGGGTCCGGAGCTCACCGGAGGACTCGATAACTTCTGAAATACCTAAAATTACGCTTTATTATATGTTCAGGGTTTATCCCTATACCTAGGCTCAAAATAGCCGCAAATAAAGAGCAATATCCGCGTCATTACTAGTTTGTAGATCACGTGGGAAACGGACAGCGTTGGTCGTTGTTTAGATTTTTCGAGACACATCCTCGGGCTGTTTCTCCCCTCGTGATAAAAACCGACAAATCAGAGTGCCCCCCCCCAAAAACATAGTGCAGCAAAATAGCCCCGGGGTGCCGGCTCGAGAAATGACCCAGGCCATTTGTTGATATTAAAATAAATGCCCAACAGGAATGGGGTTTTTGAAATTAGTTGCATCATGAAGGGTGTGAATTAACTTTCTTTGAATTTTTAAGTGCTTTCGCAGCATTGTGGGGAGCCAACTTTTTCCCTGGGATCAATTTTTAGTGTGTTACAGGAATAGCGGAAATGTTTCCTAAACTGTTTTTATTATTCTATGCGTTGTGCATATTAAAGCTTGGCCTGGTGGACGCCAAAAACTTCGCCGATCCGATCCATGGCCCAGGCGATATTTTCGTATATTCGTCCAAATTCGAGGTTCCGGAGGTGAAATTCGAGGCTGTCAGTAGCAATTCTAAAATTTGCAGCAAGTTTTTGCTAGTCATGATTGCTTACCCATCATCATGTATCCGGTAAAAACTACCGTAGCCGTCTGTACATTTGCGCTTACATAACCATAACTTCCAAACTTATCGTAGCCGATAAAGCTACGAAAAGGTTAAATTCTGGCATGAACAAGTCGGTCTACCCCTCGTCGATAGTTTAAAATTTCCATCACCGCCCCGAGTGTTTTCCGACTTATCATGGAACTATCCCTTGGTTCGGCTCTTTTCGAGCTGCAAGAACCCTTGTTCATGCTTTCAAGCGTTTTTCGAAGTCCATAAAGGTGGCGGTCACATCCCTGGTACATTTTTTATTTTTTACAAAGCTGCCAGTTTTACCATTCCCTCCATCGCCTCGGCCATCAATTTGTTATGGGCGTCGTAGGCCAGCTTTGAAAGGCGTCATAACTCGTTGACCTGAAGGCCGCACGTTGGGATAAGCCCCCCTCGCTCTCTCCCTTCGCCGCCGCCATAGCTCAGTTGGTTAGAGCGTGGGTCTAATGTCAAGCCCAAGGTCGCAGGTTCGACCCTGCTGGCGGCAAACTTTTTGCAATTTTAGAGTTGACCCCTGACTGGTTTTTTGATAACTTTACGAGGTCTATTTCCGAGTTTTTGAAGAAGTACATCCTACTTCCTACTATATATAAAAAATATATAAAAACAGTGTCTGTGTGTGTGTGTGTGTATATTTGCATGCACTTCCGTTAGGATGTTCCGCTCCTACAGCCTCGGGGGAAGGGTTTTTGGATAGGGAAGAAACGACAATAGGTTTAGAATGGTCCGGAATCGACTGCACACACATAAAAATTTTGAAAAGTGGCGGTTTTCGCTATTAAAAATAGGTTTTTGTAAAAACCTGTTTGTTAGGGGAAATTAGCATACGCCGGAAGTAGGAAGAGCCTATATAAAGGGACAGAGGAGCCGTTTTTCACTTTTTTTTCTTGCTAGAATTCAGGAAGAAACATGCAAATTAAGGACTTTCACAGGTCCTGGACGGGGCCAGGGTTGAAAAGCCGCGAAGCGGTTTTTCAACCCTGGTATATAAAAAAATAGTGTTTGTGTGTGTGTGTATATTTGCATGCACTTCCGTTAGGATGTTCCGCTCCTACAGCCTCGGGGAAGGGTTTTTTGGATAGGAAAGAAACGACAATAGGTTTAGAATGGTCCGGAATCGACTGCGCACACATAAAAATTTTGAAAAATTGCGGTTTTCGCTATTAAAAATAGGTTTTTTTAAAACCCTGTTTGTTAGGGGAAATTAGCATACGCCGGAAGTAGGAAGAGCCTATATAAAGGGACGGAGGAGCCGTTTATCACTTTTTTCTTGCTAGAATTCAGGAAGAAACATGCAAATTAAGGACTTTCACAGGTCCTGGACGGGGCCAGGGTTGAAAAGCCGCGAAGCGGTTTTTCAACCCTGGTAGAGATGTTAAGAATCAATTAACAATCAAGATTATTTGCATACAATGGCACAATATTATTTGATTTGGATGGGGCTGAGCGCATGACCAAGTAAAATAATATTATTTGACTCCGATTGTGAGAGAACCAAGTAAGATTACTTGATTTACTTGATTTACTTGATCAAACAATAGCTTTCTGGAATTCTGGCATTTTTCGGATGGTAATGAACTTTATGACATGATCGCATGCTAATTTACTGGGTTCACGGCACGATTGCCTGATTTGCATTGCAAATTTGCACAAAATCAAGTAATTTCGCTGAAAATCTAGTAATTCTCCCAAATCAATCAAGATCAAGTAAATCAAGTAATTTTATTTTACTTCATGCTTATTCAAGGAAACGGCGTAAAATAATTTTATATTTACTTGAAGATTTCAGATGCAAATAAAGTTGTTCAATCAAATTTACTTGGTCATTATATTACTTGATTCGTAACATCTCTAGTACCACATAACTGCTCTTTTCGGGTTTACATAAATCCATACCGGTTTACTCTCCAATAGCGCATTAGTAAAAGCCACAGCCCCGGGCGTACGACTTTTTATCGTTTCCGTTCTGCCAAGGTAGAATTTTCGCGTGCTGGCGGTTTCGTAAATTGGGGCGTAGCTGAAAATAGGCCAGCTAGATGGGGGATATTTAGTGGAGCAACCTACTTTCCATGAACCTTCCTAAAGGCGATCTGCATCGCTAGCTGTATGGACGGTATCCATGTAAATTTTCATCTTCTTTAGCTGGTCATTGCCGTAGCCATTATACCGGGGAAAGACGCGGACCCTGATTTGTGCCTTCTAAAATCGGTATTTAGCTTTATTTGTGTTGATTATTCATCTTCAAACATTAGGGAAAACCGACATACATGCTTGTAGAAATTATTTTCGGCTTCTTCTATGGCTTTTTCGACAGTTTTGTCCAAGGCGAAATCGATGAGGGTGGGTTTTTCAAAATCGACATTATCCTGAAATGTTAAATCGGTATAATCCATGACGCTTAAGCACCATAACCTAATTAAAAGTTCAAATAACACAAAATTAATTACATTTGGTGTCCAGACATGATGCCGAATTTTACGACCGGATATATTTCCTGCGTCAAGGACGACAATTGCATCTACGTTGGAGTGCTAGATTCTTTGATTTTATTATTTTTGGTTGGCCTACGTCCGCTTGCGTAGTAATCTGTCCATCTTTCATTATCGTAATATTCATATTTTTGTCGGCCCATTGCCCGTCTGGCTGTCCCATCATCGAATATACCAGCAGCTAAAAAGCGAAATTTAATTATCTCTCTCACCTCTCACCCTCTCTCACCTCATTCTCCTCAAGAATCTCATCGTCCGTCAGTACCACCGCAAAATTGACGACTCGATTTTCAGCAAATTTTCTGCATTTTTGGAGGATAGTTTTTGAAGGTGGCTGCGCATCTGGAAATTTTGAACTTAGCAAAACGAACTTAAAATCCTACATCGGCCCAAGTATCACGATGCTCTGCGGTTAGTGTCGCAACGGAATGACGTACTTTTGTGGAATTATTTCTGACGAATTCAAAAGCTCCTGATATGGGAGCCCATTTAAAATAATTTGTGGCTTACTGTACAATTCGTCAACAGATTTTAGAGCTCCATTTTTCATGACATCCAGCTCCCAGATATTCCCTCGGCAAAGAATGACGATATGAGACGGACAGGCGCCTTGTTCTTCTGAAAATATCCGGCTAATCATTAAAAATTCTAACGCACCCGTCTTGAAATAGCGTGCCATTTGATCTTTGGGGCGTTGCGGGACCCGGGCCGCGTTGAACAGGCATAAGTTTTGATTCATGTCCCAGATGACGCCTCGGCTTTTCATTACCGGATAGGTTTGCCTGAAAGTTGGATTAGGCTTGGGGTTCGGCTTTGGCTAGGCTTAGGCTTTGGCTTAGGCTTAGACTTTGGCTCTGACTTAGGCGTAAGCTTTCGCTTAGGCGTAGGCTTCTATTTATCCTTAGGTTAGGGTTTGGGGCTTAGGCGCGGGATTGGCTTAGGTTAGGCTTAGACATCGCTTCGGCATCAGCTTATTAGGCTTAGGTTGAGCTTAGTCTTAGGCTTAGCTTGTGCTTGAGCTTAGGCTTGGCCTTGGGCTTAGGCTTAGGCGTGAGTTTAGGCAAACGCTTTGGCATGTGCGTGGGCTAGAAAATTTTTCCAACTTACTTTCTCAAGCTCTCCCACACCTTTAACATATGGTAGATGGAATCGGCCGCTCGACAAATTTGCGATCCAATGGCCCTCGGAGCCCTTGGCTGTAAAATTCTAAAAGTTGCGAAAACTACAGTAACCCACCTGGATACTTGCCAGGGACAGGTAAGGAACAAGAGGCCCCCGAATTTCACAATAAGCATCGTACCACCAGTCATCGAGCTGAAATATATCGATGTTCGCCAGGCTTACGGGTTTTTTTAAATGTTAGTCTACGATACCTGCGAAAAAGTGCAGTAGTACGTCTACGGTCTATTCATTGTTTTTTTCAAAGAACTTACCCAACTATCCAATTGTTCTTTTCGGGCCAGCAACGCCTGCTGCAGCTGACCGGCCAGCGGACTGGAACGGAACTCCTCGACCGCCTTTTCCGTTTCTTTCCGGTCTTTTTCAGGAAGTTCGACAAGTGCTAAAGGATCAATCAAAAGAATTTGGTTTCAAGCTCTACTTTACCTGATTTTAAATACTTCTTGAGGGTAGCGTCGAGCTCGGGCACTCCAAGTTTCGGTAAGGAATTTTGGTATTGAAAGGTTTTTTCCTGAGGTTTGTCTGCCATTTTTAGGCCTAAAATCATAGATTCATTAAAAAACGAGCTATCAGCTTAAATAGGAAAAACACGGTCCGTTTATAACAAGACAACAACGGCAGATAGAAAGTAATTTTAAAGGGCTAAAAAGTAAATTGACGGCAAAAAGCGAGAGGCTTACGGTAGGAAAAGAAACTAAAACGCGTAGTTCACCGGTGAACTAAGTAGTTGTCACAGCACCAGTAAAGCAGAAGCGTGCAATGAGCTTAAAAACGTTTTGAGATGCCCTTCCGGTCTCCCAGTGCAAACTCCGGTCAAAAACGTGCAAATTACCGGCCTCTACTCACCCCCACGTGCTAATACAGCTGTGATTAGGCTACAGGCTACAGCCGTTGATGTCTTATCATTTCGGGGAGGGTGACCTAGTGCAAAGGTCGATGGGCAAGACGATTTGGGATCAATTTAGCAGGGATCGAAAGCCAGCCAAGGCTTGAAAAAATAGCCTTATGAACAGTATTGATTTTACAAACATGAGATGAAAAAAATGAGGAATTAAATACAAATAAATTACAAACTACAGCTATGTAAAAATGGTAGAAATGCCTAGTACACTACACCAGGCCAGACCTGATAAGCTCGGGTACAAAGTGAAGCCAAGCCGCTTATCTTTCCTTGCAAAACAAGCGGCTCCAACGTTGCACACCTAATGCCAAAGTTTCCGAGGGGATTCGGTAATTACATTATAAAAAAATTTGAAGGCGTTCAAATTAACTGAACGCCCCTTGGAAACTCGCGAAGGAACGAAGGCAGAAAATTCGAAATCGCCCAGAATCCTCTGAATTTGCAAAATTTTCCTTTGCATAAAAATTTGCAAGCAAACCATAAATTACCCAATGACACTACGAAATGCCCTGCCTCCTTTGGCTGCTCCTACTCGTCGCTCAACTTGGCGCCACTCAGAATCACACTGGAGTTAGGGTAATTCTTTGGACAGAATAGGAACAGCTTCGACGAAAACCGACATTTTCCACGGCATCGGTGAATTTCTAAATTCAGAATTCATCGCTGAACTCGACCAGAAACACCGATGAATTCGGCGCAGGCGAAGAAGCGTTTGAAGCGGCCGATTCCCGGCTCGACCAGCTTGATGCGAGGCTATTTTGGATTGAAAAGGTAACGTAGACCTGCAAAAATCGACCGCCATGAAAAATCGACAGAAAAACAAGAACACACAATCTCATTTTCCAGATCTACCTCTTCGTTTTTCTGGCAATTCTCGGCCTCACCCTGCTGTGTGCGTGTGCCGTTATTGGTGTCCTCGGCTACATGATCATGTTAGTAATACTATTCAAAAAATATCGACACTGATAATGACGGCAGCAAAATTACCGATAGGCCAAAATCCCGACAGACCGACATACCGACAGCCGAAATTCCGGTAAGAGTTTACTTTACCCCCCCCACAGCCGAAGGGTCTCAAAGTTGTCGGTATTTTCGCTTATTTTGTCGGGATTTTTGCAACGCTATTCGATAGAGCGTCGAAAAATATACTAAGAATTTTAATTTGAGCCTACAATAATCCTACTATATATAAAAAAATAGTGTTTGTGTGTGTGTGTGTGCCACTTTGCATGCAACTTCCGTCAGGTTGTTCCAGTCGTATCTCAATAAGGGGGGTATTTAGGGGTATGTTTTATACGTCATTAGGTGCGTAATGGCCTGGGGATGACTGCACACCAATAAAATTTTCAAGAATGAGCTGTTTTCGACGTTAAAATTAAGTTTTTGTTGAAAAATGGGCCACCCTCTTTGTTAGGAAACAATTAGCATACGCCGGAAGTTGCGGTAGCCTATATAAGAGAAGAGAGGGAGCGTTTCTGATTTTTTTGTCATCGAAAATCGTGAGAATTATGCAAAGTGAAGAATATCATCGGCTAAATTTCACTTTACGGTAACTAAATAAAATGTCGTTTTTTCGATTGGAATCGATAGATCTCGTCGAGTTCTACCATTTCCAGTTGAAAAAACTATTGGGACTCGCTTCTAAAAAAAGTTATAAACATTTTAAATTGGCTAGTTCACTTTACGGTAACTAAATAAAATGTCGATTTTTTAACTGAAATCGATAGATCTCATCAAGCTCTCGCGTTTCCCGTTGAAAAAACGATTGGGACTCGCTATTAACAAAAGTTATAGCTGTTTTAAACCAATTCACCCCGCATCGAAAAAGTCGATTTCGGCTACGAGGGACCCTTTGTACGGAAAAACGTAATAGTTGTGAACGTACTGGGGTACCAAATACGGGGCCGCTGCAAAAGGCGCAGGAAAACTTTATTAGCACACATTTTGCACCTCCTCCGAATTTATAAATTTCTGAAACATCAAAAAGACGGTTTTGCAACAGGAGTCACTCGATTTGGAGGGAAATGACCGCTACTTCCTCCGCTCTGCGACTAGAAAAGGCTTCGTGCCACCGGGGGCCTAGTCGCTTCGGATGGGTGCGAGCTCAGTACAGGGTTTCGAAATGGGGCGCCAAGGCCGGCGAAGCGGCCGGGGGCGCCCCCATTTCGAAAGAGGGAGCGGCAGCCCATCCGAAGCGACGGCCCGCCTTGCCTGACAATTTCACAGTCAAAAATGTCAAAAATATAGTGTAGCTTCCTCCGAACAACTTTCCCAAAGGTTTTTATAACTGTAAATGCCAGAACTCGACGATATCTATTTATCGCAGGCGAAAAATCGCATTTTTACGAGGTTACCGTAAAGTGAACCAACCACTTTAAACCGTTTATAACTTTCGTTAAAAGCGGGTCCCAATCGTTTTTTCAACTGGAAATGGTAGAACTCGACGAGATCTATCGATTCCAAGCGAAAAATCGAGATTTTATTTAGTTACCGTAAAGTGAACTAGCCAATTTAAAATGTTTATAACTTTTTTTAGAAGCGAGTCCCAATAGTTTTTTTAACTGGAAATGGTAGAACTCGCCGAGATCTATAGATTCCAATCGAAAAATCGAGATTTTATTTAGTTACCGTAAAGTGAAATTTTCCCATATCATCGGTTCAGACGGGGTCAGGGTTGCAAAGTCGCGAAGCGGCTTTTCAACCCTGGTGTAAAATAAAAAAGTTATAGCCAAAAACTTCCGGCTCAGGGGGGGGGGGTAAAGTAAACCGTAGCCGAAATTCCGATTTCCAAACGCCATACAGCTTAAATAGCGACAGCCAGGGGCGTACACGAACCCGATTTTTGGGGGGCAACTCGAAGATTTTTTTGTCGACCTTTTTGTTGCCGACAGCCAGAATCCGGCAGGAAAGATCCCGACAACTATAATCCCGACAGTCAAAATCCCGTGAGCAAAATCCCGACAGCGAAAATGCCGAAGTCCAGGGTGGGGGTTTAAAAGGAAGTGAAGTCGATTAGCCTCAACAATATGTCGGAATTTTGGCTGTCGGGATCTTCGCCTGTCAGGATTTGAACTGTCGGCATTATGGCTGGATGTCCAAAATTTAGCAAGCTGCAAAGAGCCCTCAAATCCACGACAATCCCAAAATCCCGGGACACCGCCGGGCCGCTGAGTTCGGATGTGGAGAGCGTCGCTCCGAAGGTGATATCAGGTTTTCGCAGTATTAGAGGGATTTGAAAGTATATATTGGTCTATTTGCTAGATATACAGAAAATTAAAAATTTATATACGTTTAGCACTCCACCATCAAGGAAGCCAAGGTGTCGAAGGCTACAAAGGAGCGGCATAACAAGCCAAGTCGCGTCGACTCTGTCATTTCGCGGGATGTCGCTACGAGTACCAAAGCGAAGCCAGTGAAGTCGGCAATCTTGATGAAGCCGATGAAGCCTCTGAAGCCAGCTAAAGGTGGACAGGTATGTGCGAGTGAGAGAGGGGGAGAGAGAGAAAAAGAGAGAGAGAGAGAGAGAGAGAGAGTAATTTTTTACATTCCAGCGTAACGCCTCGACGAGCACAAGCTGTTCGAAGATTGAAAAATACGAGATTGTGGGTTTAACTGAATTCTTTAGCGAATAATTAAACAGGAGGACATCTACGTCGACATGTCGATCGGTGGCCCGCGGAAGCAGAAAAAGACGCGTCCGCATCCCAGCCCGCCACCTCCGCCCGGTCCCATGAAGGTCACTTTTCACATCACTTTCCTTACAAGAAATACATTCCTTGGAAATCACTAGCGTTTTTAGTGTACTTTAAGATATTTTCGGTGATTTTTTATTATTAAAAAGTGCGTTAAATTTTAGCCATTTTGAAGGAGTGCTTTTTTACTATTTGCCTAATTTTTCCTAAGCTTTTATCAATTTTATAACTCAACTAAACACGGTTTAAAAAGCTATTGAATAAATATTTAGAAAGCGTATTTTAATAAATAACAAACAAAATAAGTAAACTGACCTAAAAACAAGTTAGAATAATAATTTAAAATCTCGTTAAATAGAGACCTTACGAGAACGAGCCGTCTCAATTCCAGTGTCACGCCGCCACGAGCACCGAGCACGCCATCCTCTGGGGTTCTGAGCTGGGCACCAATTCGGTGCGAATCTTCCGCGAGACTTTTTTTATTCAGGAATTTTTAGTGTCGCGACTAGGACGACAAGTGCGACAAGGAAGCCATCGGAATATTTACCAACTGACGCTTCCTCTACAATTCCCACGCGCACGAAGAAATACTTGAAGAAACGATTCGATTTCTTGGATAGTTGTTGTAGACTGAAGTTGAATAAATTTTGGGGAACACAATTTGCATTTTTAGGACTGAGTTTATACAAAGTCGGAGCTTTTCTCAGTTACCCTCAAAATGCAGCGCCTCCTGTGGCTGTTCTTCTTCATCTCCTGCCACATCGTGGTCAGCCAGGGCGGCCAGGCCGGGAATACGGTAATTTTCGCTTAACCTCAAAGCTTGGAAATTTTGGCGGCAGTGGGCTGTTAGCGGGGGGAGGGCGAAGAAATTGTTCTCCAATAATTTTGTGCGATGCTGTAACGAAATTCAAATGATTTTACAGTATATTTTACAGTATTTTACAGCATTTTCAATGTTTCTAAATGGTAGAACACCCTGACAATCTCAAAAATTTGGAAAATTTTTGATGTTTTAGGCAAGGTGTATGTGAAAAAATTCCCAAAAAAGGCCGAAAAGTATACCAAAGTAACGTAGACCAACCTGGGAGAACCTGCAGTTTAGCCAAGTTTACCCTGACCTCGCCCCAACTAGCCACTTACCAACATGTTTTTAGCCCTCAAACGAGCCCGTCGCGAAGACGAACACTTCGTCGGCTCCAGTCTCGGATTCGACGGCCGCGAGCAGCTCAAACGACGGAGCCACCTGAAGGGGACGGCTCCGAGCTGGACGGCCGTGTTCAGCAGCTTGACGCCCGCTTCTGGCAGCTCGAAAAGTACGAAATTTCGATCCTTTCCCTATTTTTCTGCTTTTAGCGCCTCAACAAATCGGTGCACGCCTCCGCCGTCTTGGAGGAGCTCAAGCAGGATACGGTAGCTGGCTTCAAAATACACTAAATAGCTTCAGACAAACCAGACATTGCTTAAACAAGTAGAAAATGTTGTCATTTGCGTGGAAAAATAAATTTTTCGACCTAAAATGGTCTTCCTAAAAAAATTGTAAGGTTTTAATAATAGGGCTGAACTCCAGATACCCCCCTACCGTATCTCGGCTCGCGAGTTTATGGGCAGGTGTGTAAAGTACACCAAAATACTCGCCAGAGCAAGACGAACATTTTGGTATACTTTACACACCTGTAGACGAATAGGACAGCGTCCTTTCGTCCTTTACACACCTGTAGACGAAAAAGACGAATTTTTAGTATCTTACCCATAATATTTTTAAGAAAGTCAGTTCAAAGCAATTTACTCCGAAAGAGCCAATTTTTCGCAATTTGAAGCCCCGCTTTTCAGTTGTTCTTGATCGGCTCCATCGGCGTGTTCGGCGCGGCCATCTTATGCCTGTGCTTGTCGACTTGTGTGCTTGGCTGTCAGGTGATGTAGGGGAAATTCGGGTCACTGTGGAAGATGCTCACTTTAGCAAACTGCAAAAGCGGTCAAGCCGACGGTGGCGAAAGAGCCGAGCGTGAGCCCAAGCCCGAAAGTGCCGCCGGTGGTGAATGATGTGGAGAGCGTCGCTTCGAAGGTATCAAAATCGGAGTTTTGCTTTATACGTGCTAGAAAACGCCAAAATCGAGCCTTTATTAACACTAGGACGACGGGTAGTTTTCATTTAGCGAGCCCTTTCCTAATAGCTTTTTGTGGGCAACGCATATCTATCGAGATCTAGTCAAAATCTACTTTATCTACACAGATCTACTTTTTTATTTTACATTATTTTAGGCTCAAATTAAAACTCTTAGTATATTTTTGACGCTCTATCGAATGGCGTTGCAAAAATCTCGACAAAATCAGCGAAAATACCGAAAACTTTGAGACCCTTCGGCTGTGGGGGGGGGGGGTAAAAGTAAACTTTTACCGGGTTCGACTTTAACGCTGTACAGTCGTCCCTTTAAAGCTACTCAGAAGCCTGAACAGGTTACAACAGCCTAATGCCGACCAAACACCGACAAACCATAATGCTGTCAGCCAAAATGCCGACATTCAAAATCTTGAATTGCAGGCAGAAAGTATTAATTCGAGCGTTTTTGTGTCGGTTTTTTGACTCTTCGAATTTGGGCTTGTCGGCATTTCTCTGCCTAGATTTTGGACTATCGAGATTTTAGATTCCATTCCCTTTCAGCGCGATTCCACGACGAGCACCGCCGATGGGCACAGACTTTCGAAGCAGGAGACCCTCGAGAAAGAGGTATTTTATCAACAAAATCTATTTTTTTAATTTTCCAGGGCAACGACGGCCACTACGAGGATTGCTCCTTCAGCAAGCCGGTCACGCCAAAGGTAGAAAAAAATGAAATTTTTAATAAATTTAACGCTTTTTTCAGCACACCGAAGCCTAGAAGATACTCGTTCACCCCCCGGGCAGCAATTGGGAAAAATTCGACCAAAAATCTGAACACGTTTCCAAATTCCGAACTATCGCTTGTAAACGGCGTGGTTATCGGATCTGAATAAATGTTTTTGCATGGGATATCTTATGTTTTGCTTGTGATGATCGGGCACCGACTTTACACGATTTCCCTGCAAATAATTTGCATACAGCCCCAATTTTGCTGTCACGATCCGGAAAGAATTCGGGTCATGGCGTAAAAATGCTGCGCATCGTCTCGCTGCTGCTGTTCCTCGGCGTCGCCACGCTCGCCGAGGTCGCTGTCGGGCTCGCGTCACCGACCTCGAAAACAAGACAAAGGTGCGGTATTTGCGCTCGTATAACACTTGGGAATTGTCTATCTACCTAAAACTATCCCAAAAACCTTCAAAAAGCCGTTATTTTTTTTGTATTTTCTAACAAAATTTGTAAAATTTGCGCTTAGGAATAGCAATAAGGGGGTTAGAAACTCGTCCTATATTCATATTTAGGAAATGGGATACTAAGAAAAATTTGTTTTCTCTTCTGATAACCCCCCCCGATAACGCGAAAGAGCCGAAAATAGGGAAAATGGTTCGCTTTCGACCACATCGCCTGAAGCCCCTCCTCTTTTCAGCTCTTCTCGAACGATGAGTTCACCAAGCTGAAGATTGGCATGGAACAGCTGGGGGAGACTACGGTAGGTGGGGCACGATTCAGAGATTTGATCATGCCACCCTTTAGCAAAGCGTCTTCATCGGCGTGTGCGTGCTGGGCGGCGTCGCCGTGTTCTTCTTGTGCTGGCTCATCTTCCTCTGTCTGGCTGTTATGTAGGTCTTTGACGCGGTTTTGGTACTGGACTGTTAGCGGGGGGAGGGGGGTCAGGGAACAAGTTAATTTTTAGTTTTCTGCTTATTCGACCGGTTAATGATAGATACTCACTTTTTAACAATCCTTTCTGGCTTTGGGGTGTTTTAAATGGTCTGTGCTTGACCCCCCTTACTCATGACTTTTTTCAGGGGCATGAACAAGTCGATCACGCTGCTGCAAAGCCAAATTAACGACGTGGGCGGCGGGGGTGGCGGCGGGACGACGATGGCTGCGAGTGTGATGATCCCTGGGGTATGTTGCCCATTAAAAGCTGAAGAGTGAATTCGTTTTGTTAAGGCCAGCCCAACAAAGTCCAAATCGTCCGACTCGCCGGGTGGCCGCGACCAGACGGAGCGTCCGAAGCTCGACCTCTGAACAATTATTCGCGCTTGATAAAGCTAATTCTTAATCACGCCAATTTAAAGGGACCGGCAAGTCATCGTTCAGGGTTTTTTGTGGTGTGAATTGGGAATCCAGAGCAGTAAAATCTATGCTTTTGCCTTGCTCGTCCCTTTAAAGGAGGCGAAAATCCAAAAAGAAAGCTTTTTTTTAGAAACCCGTCGAGCCGGCCTTTTCGCAGACGGACGGAGCCCCGGTCTCCCAACATTTGGGCCCGAAATAGAGCCGAGCCGGCCCCAGCTACTCGTCCCTACCGTACGCCAGCAATTCCGATAGTTCCTATTCACAAGATGTTTCCCCGCGCTTTCCCATTGTTCACATTTTCCTTTCCGGTGTTGTGTAATGGAATAAAGATTTTGTAAAAACCGTATCTTCTTGATTATTGCTTGGTTTCCGCAATAAAAAAGGCAAGTCTGAAATGGGAAACGGACGTCAAAACGAGAAAATCATGATATGATGGCCCGGACGACCCTGATTCCCAAACAGCAAAAACATTCTTCCGTTGCGGGGAATCGAACCCCGGCCTTATGGGTGAGAGCCATAAATCCTAACCACTAGACCACAACGGAGGATGGGGCTGTGGTGGGGCGGAGGGGGCTAACCGGTAGGGGGCACCCCCGCCGGCGTGTCAAACACGGCCGCCACGACAGCCAAGGCGTCGTTCAAATTCAGTCTGTTTCCATTAGGTATCAGTGATTTTGCCTTGGCAACATCAGGCTCGTTTCGGAATCGTCAATCCAAGAAGCTGAATGAGTCCATATTGCCACGCGCCGAAATTAGCCCGAACAGCCCCATTGATCCCACCTGGGAAAACACGGGGGTCGGTGCTCGAATTAACGATAACATTTTGAAAATGATAATTGCAAAAGGGTCAATCAACAATGTCAAAAATAGAGTGTGGTCTTCAATAGCTCCCTTCCAGTTTTCGCTTCCATAAGATCTCTTTACGCCGGAAAAAGTCTTCCAAATATTACAGAACCAGTGGAAAAAGCCGCTTCGCGGCCCTTTCCACTGGACCCTCCAGGAACGATGACTTTCTTCTTTTTTAGCCTGCAGCGCATGAACGTGAGTCAAGGAGCCATTCTTTGACCTGCGGCGCCAGAGCCTGGTCCAAGGACCTTTCCGTTGGCCTGCGGCGCTAAAGCGAGAGCCAGGCCTAAACCTCGCGCTAGTATCTTTTTGCCTACAGCGCTAGTTACTGGTTTTTCTCTAGAATTTGGCCTGCGGCGGGAGAGCCTAGGCCAAGCATTTGCCTGCGGCGCTAGAGCGCGATCCAGGCCTAAACGCGCTAGGAACCTTTTTACCTGCAGCGCTAGTTACTGGGTTTTCTCCCATCCCTTGCCTGCGGCGCAAGAGCCTGGGCCAAGGACCTTTTCTTTGGACTGCGGCGCTAGAGCGAGAGCAGGCCCCAATCTCGCGCACCCAGAGCCTAGAAATATCTTTTGTTACTGAACTGCCAAAAGCAAAAAATTAAATTCTCCCAGGATCCGAACTCACGACCATGCGCATCGTAGACCGGGCGCATATCCACTACACCATCCCACAGATGGGAACAGGCGGCGGGAAAGCCCTCTTCCGTTCTGGGGGAAAGGGGCGTCGGGGAAAGCAAAGAAAAGGGCGACCCAATGATCCCCGGAGGGAGGCCTACTGGTCAATTTACATAATTCGGTTTTCTAGTCTGAATCAGCTGAAAATTTGCAAAGATAATAAGATGCGCGTGATGCCCACCATCGAATACATAAGTGGTCCAAATTACAGAGCGAAATTTCATCTGGGCTCTGAGATATGGCCCGGACACCACGGCTCTTGGCCCACTTTATTAAGGACTTTTTATAAAAATCTTCATAAAAAATTCATTTTAGAAAATCTGACAAAACGCCGAATTGTATATCGGGAGAATTCAATTCTCAATCGACCCTCCAAAAATTAGCGCCCAGTTCCATTTGGATCGCGAGATATCCTCTGTACAAACCTTTTTGGCCACAATGTTAAGGGTTTTTCACTATTTCGCTTGTAAAATCGTTAAATGAAGGAATTTCGAAAAACAAAAAATGTCTATAAAGAGGATGTGTTTCTCCACCTACATGCCAAAAATCAGCGCGAAATTCGGCCTGACGGCCGAGAAATCGGCTGCACAGAAAACAAACATACTTTTCGCTTATAGGATAGGATTTCCACAAAAGTTTTTTCTAGTTCTTTTGCTTCTTTTTCGACTTCAATATAGTTAAAGTTTACTAACAATGAGGCGCTATTAAAATGACTTACTACAGACTTCATTATTAGGCATTTTCTGTCTTAGGTCTGCCCCTTGCCGCTAATTTTAAAGAACTTTTTCGCGATCGGTTTCACTGAACAAGGCGCAGTCACGACACCGAACAAATTGTTCCGCTAGCGCTAGCATGCCATGATATCCTAGCCCACGATTCTAATTAGCTTAGCGCTTGTTAGGCGCCGGTACAATGCGCGGATCCGTGTGAATTTCCGACGTTCCCGTACCGTCAGCATTATAAAAATGCCTGGGATTCCCAGATCGTGTCTCACAGGAAGTAGTCGAGCACAAACTTTAGACATCCCGACTCACGAGGAGTGCTTTTTTGAGTCATCGGCAAAACCTTAGCGAGACCTAGCTCATTCAATAAGAATTCGGTTCTGAACAAAACCCCGTTGTTCTTTTTTGCGGAACGGCTATCCCTGATTTTATAAACTTAAAATACTAGTGACCGTCTCTTACCGAGCGCCTTTCGAGCAAAAAGATAGGCTTTTGGATGCAGTTTTAAAATTTTATAAAATCAGGGATAGCCATTCTGCACAAAAGAATCAACGGGGTTTTGTTCAGAATCGAATTCTCTATCGAATGAGCTAGGTCTCGTAAGGTTTTGCCAATGACTCAAAAAAGCATTCCTTGTCAGATCGGTCGGGATTAGGGACTTGTAATTCCACGTTATTTGGTTTGGCACGTTTTAGGCGATTTCCGAGTACCCCATTCGCATGGAAACCCCCAAAAATAATGGGTTTAAGGTCAGTCCACCCCAATTTTATGGGAACGAAGTCGAAGTTGTGATTGTCGTTGTTCGAATTCAGGTAAAAATTTGTATGCATATTTCTCTTAAAATGTTTCGTACGATTCGCCAACAGGTAGCTCACAAACTGGTAGCTGTTCAGCAACACTTTGCCCTCCACTTATTTTCATCATTTTTTTCAAAAATTCGGTAGACCGGCAGGTGGGGCTGGACCACAAACAGGTGCTGTATTTGATTTCCTGGAAAGCGCTACAATCTTGCTTTTTGAATCCCGGTGAACGCCGAGCGAATTTGTTTTTGCTTTTCGTCTAGTCCTTCACGATTTCTCAAGTCTTTTTGGCCGTTTTTATGTTGTTTTTTACAGAAAGTATGGAAAACTACACGTCAAAGTATGTATTCCTGCCCTCACCGGAAGTAGAATGGGTCCTGGCACGGATTTATACCGTAACCTGGACCACCGGATCGGCGTTATTCGGGATAGCTGTGTATTTTCTGCTCCGGATACCGTCTCCAGCTACAAAGAGTTATAAACGAATCCAGCTGAACCTACTGGTAAGTATACTTAATTCGGGTTCTTCGGCATTATCGGGGGATATCAGGAGAGAAAACCAACTTTTTTCCTTACTTGGGAGCCTTTTCTAAAATAAATGGAAGAGTTTTACTACCTTTTCATGCTAATAATCAACGCAAAAACTTTACAAATTTTGCTAAAAATATGCAAAATAGCGATTTTCGATAAACAAAATTGGCGATTTTGTCGGACTTGAGCTCCGAATTTTTGGTGTTTAGATAGTTTTCTACTTGAAATACGACGATTCTAAATTATCCGGACCCCCCGCTACGGCGAAAGCACCTTAATTTAATTTTATCAAGTTTGAGGCGCAGCTTTCAGTTTGGGCTTTTACCAAAACTATATTTTGTATTAACGGCAAAATTCAAGCATTCAGATCGCATACGCACGATAATCGCATCGCATACTCGCGGATACGATAATCTCCATTTACAAGCCTATCCTTTACGCCCCAATCTACTGCGTGAAAATGTTGAGCGATCATCGATTCACGAAAGAGCAGTCATTTTTGGGGATTGTGAGCTGTGGATCCCGATACCTCAACTCAATTTCTAGAATCTCTACTACTTTATGGTTTTTATATCGCGACCGTGATTTACTACACGGGTATTACCAAGTATCAAACCGCCCACCTGAAGGAGCGGGTTTTTGAGCGCCGGATGAAGCTCGGCCTCATCGCCGTTTTTGTCTGCTTGGCGACTTGTTCCAGTGTTTGGCTCTGGTCACAGTATTTCTATGGGGAAGCGACGATTGATCCGATTAAGGTGAGTCTGGAAGAATATGGCTGCTGGAATGCGAGGGGCTCCGAAAAGTGGTCCAGGGCCCCTGCGTTGATTACTGGCCGCAGCGCGACCGCGCCGCTTGGTCTTGGCCCATTGTTGAACGTGAAAACGCTTGCATTTAAAAATTCTAAAGTTATTTGTGTAATCCTCATCGAATTTTGATCATTTTATACTTTTTAATTCTGAAAATGGATCAAAGAATCACCGAGATCGAGTGATTGGGCGCCTTATCAGACATGACGACATGTTTTCGCCGCGCACTCGAAAAGTCCTTTTCGGTCCGAGAACTATTCGGTTTTACTCAAATATTTTACGCTTTTTTCGCAACGAAACGATAGTTGCCGGTATTTTGGGGCAGTAGCCCTTGCGTTTTCTTTCATCAGTAGGATCAATCCCCGCACGCACGAATTTTGACCTCCGGGCCCCTTTAAGCAACATAAGTTTAACTCAGAAAACACTGTGCAGGTGCCAATTTAATACGCCGACCACATTGTAAAGCCGATTGTTTTTGCATTAACAGTAAAGTAGAGCCGTGGCAGGTGATCGGCTACGTCAGCCCCTGGGGAATTGCAGGCTCTCGTCGTACTTAAACTATCTAGG